GATACTTTGATGCTTCTGATCCAACAATTTTCTTCTACATTTCTTTATAGAGACCCATCATGCACAGAAAATACTGATGGTAGGCTGTTAGCCCTAATGGTATTTCTTTTTTGGGAGAACATCTGTTAGGTTTGTGGTGACAACAGCAGGAGATATTTTTGTCAAGTGCTTATACCATGATTCAGGCTGTTTTATAGACTAGTAGCTTAGACACTTCTTCTGTCTCGGAGGAAAATTGCATGCTACCATAGGCTTTTCACCCATAAATCTTAATGTAATTTGCCATTTCTGTGCTTTAATATGACAAGCATGTTATTGAAATGACACCCATGAGATCAAATTCTCCCCACATCTCGCAGAAGATAAGCTGCGAATTTTGATCCGATGAATTTTTAGTCAGATGGGACAGTATTTTTTTCCATCTTTACTTTTTTTTTTTTTTCTGTCTCTGTGGTTTCAGAAAGTCCACTGATCAGCGGTCTGATGCAGCAGTCCTAGATAAGCCTAGGATTTTTTAAAAAACCTGCACTGAAATTAGCTCAGAGTTATTTCATGGTGTATTTCCTTTATTGCAGTCATTACTGAAAGAATGGCACTCAGGTAAGCGGTGGTTAATGGCATTTCATTAGGGACAAAATTTTTTAGCTGTCAGAAGAAATTATCTGATGTTTTTACGCATCCTGTATTCTGGCTTTATTCTTCTTCAACACAAAACCTTATTGCATTAAAAGCAAATGACTTGCCTTAAAAATCAGCACCAACATTTCCTAACTATGGTGTGCACAGTATTTAATTCAAAAATGTCTTTCTTGAATCAAGTTTTCTGACAGCAGTGGTAGGAAGGGAACTTGCACCAGTATTCCACAAGTACTGAGAATATCTTTTGGTCCAGTGCTGTGCTAAATCTGTCTTATGCCAAAATCTCCAGCATTTAGGGTTGGTTTCTTTCAGTCTGCCTTCAAGGATTCTGCTTCTAAGTCTTCTTACCCTTCCCTTGGAAAGGGAGATAAATGTGTATCTACAAGGTGCCTCAGTCTTACAGACTTAGAGAATGATTCAGAGAAACTACTGGCCACAGGGAGAGTTGACAGAGACTGTTTTCTATCTTGGCCATTAATCTGGAAGCTTGAAGTGAGCCAAGTGAATAAGCATGTAGCACCCCTGTTTCCTTTTACAGGCCCATTTTTTTTCTCTGAAGATTCCATTATTTATGTCTTTGTTCCATTGTTCATTAGAACTGAGAGGACAGAGCACTTCTGAAGTTTATGCAGATACCATTGGCATAGTAGAGCACTTAAAACTGCTGCATCTGTTCTTTGTGTATTGCAATATTTGGTGGCAAGAGGAAGAGAAACAGTATCAGGGAATATATAAAAAGTAGGTATAATGCATTTATGTTTATCTATAAGACATTTTATTAAATGATCATTGATGATAGAAGAACAATTAGCACTATCTCTAAATTGATTTCGTATTCACCACAGAAATTGATTAAAAAAAACCTCATGTAGGTGTTCAAGCGATGGAAAACTGGCAAAATTGGAAAACTGTCAAAATTAAGTTTATGCTTGCTGAGTCATCAGTGATTTTAAATAGGTTTCATGTTTTTCATGAGGTCTTTTCCTGTAGAAGGTAAAAATAGAACATGCTGTTTAGTTGCATATAAATATTTGTACAAAACTAGCAATTCATGTTCTTTAAGAGAAGCATGTCTTTCACAATCCAACATTCTTTTATTGAGTAGTCACTGAAAGCAAATTTGGATACAACAGAGCCTTTAAAAATCTGTGGTAGGAGGTTATCATTGCAAAGACTGGGCCTTATTGTTGCTTTCAGGAGTTGATAAGAAAGAATATGTTTGAGGTTCTCCTTTAGTGTGATTGTTTGTCTGAAGTAGCTATCGTCCCCAGTGCCAATACACTTTAGGAAAAAATTCTCCCAGAAAGAACACAAGCAACTCACTCTTTTCATTGGCGCATATTTAATGTTTCTCAAAGGTTAACTCTGAGGCATCTGTACAACAGTGGTGGTAACTGCTCTCGGTTATACACTTGTGCTTGGGATGATTAAGGTCTCACGGATCTCCGAAATGTTCAATATCACCACCTCCTCACAGGAAGAGTCAAAAAAAAAAAAAAAAAAAAAAAATGATGAATGCTATTCCCGTGTGTTTTCTCAATTATTTGATAATACAATTTTGTTGTTTATCCCCCCCCCCAAGAAAAGACAAAAAAAAAAAAAAAAAAAAAGAAAAAAGGTGATGAATGCTATTCCCGTGTGTTTTCTCAATTATTTGATAATACAATTTTGTTGTTTATAGATAACGTATGTTTTCTATTCCTAAGACAATCTCTTTGTGGGATCATTTACCTTGTATTACGCTGGGTAGAGCTGGGCACTTTTACCTGAGATTTCCAGGAAGTGCATCTTGATTGGTAGTTGTTCCTTCAGATCTTACGTTTGTTTGTCTTGAAGAAACTCAAGAGTCAGCTCCCGAGTGCCTTCATCACTGGGCTGTGTAATGATGGTCCTGCTCCCTATTATGTGGCCCAACTGTGTTTGTTTGTTTTTTTATAGAATATGGTGAATTCAAGGGATAGTGTGCTGATTCAGGAGGAGTCTATGTTCAGATGGTTGTGATACTCTACTGAGTAACAGATCTAATTTTTAACTGCTTCAGGCTGAAGAGGGAATTGAACTCAACAGCCCTGTTTCCTGCAGGGGCACTGTAACCACTGCACTGTTAGAGCAATTTTATGCCATTTCTCTATTATTATTTTTTTTTTTGGCTGCGCTTTCAAAAGTAGCTACAGCAGCTGTGTTTTGGGAGATCTGTATTCATAACAGAGTTGTGTTATTCCTGTTACCTGTGTGCTCAGACCTCCCAAGGGGGCCTAATACAGGCTGTACGAACCAGGGTTATGGAATTCAGGGAAGCCTGCCATGAGTAGCTGCTAAGCTGCTATGTTCCAGTGTTCCAGAAGCAAAACTTCAGGCAGACTTTGAAGACTTTAATAGGAAAATGTAGGCAAGTGTGGAGTGCAGGAGGTTATATAGTCAAGTAGGGATTGTCTAAATGTCACTTAGATTTAGGTTCCTAAAAATCACCAAAATCCTTATCTTCATCTGTGCCTGGATATTTTATGTGTTATTGCGGATAAGGGCAGTAATTTAGCTGAGAGATCCTGAAATCTTGGATTGCAGCATTTGCAACTTCTGAATGAGCTTTTGATTAAGAAAAACACTTCCGATAACCAATTAACTCAAAACCACTCTTACTGTTCTTGCCCTGAGCTGGCTGTTTTAGATGTTCAAGTAACTCCACTGTCTTTAAGCTGACCATCAACTTACATCCTGGTTGCTAGACAAGTCCAGTAGGAGGCCAGTGTTGAGGAAGAAACACCGGAATAAGAAGGTTATCAATTGAGATACTTATTAGCACCTCACTCCATACTGGTACCATATGCATTTTCAATGTGATCTGGTCTTTATTCTGAACAGTGGAAGTAGCAAAAAAATAGTCCTCTGGGACACTGCACTGGATGGGTCTCAAGGAGGTCAGATAGCATGTGATGCTTAGTGCTATCAGAACAGGTACATACACCTGCACAAATGCAGTTTGGTTTCTGCTGTCTGTACAGTGGCTGCAGTGTCTGGTAACCAGGGGTATCAGAAATAGATGATAATTCTAATATTATCAGCAAGGGAAATTTCCTTCTGCCATGCTGGAACAAGAGACATTGCAGAACGGTGGAAAATGGTGCTCTAAATCCCGTTTGTGCCTACAGTCTTAGTCAAGGCAGTAAATCAGGCAGTGAGGATGAGGGGGGATATAGATCTAGTCTCTGTGCAGCAATTCCTTAAGAAATAGTTCAACTTCCATTTGTGCCAGTCAGTCTGGTAACCTGTTCTTCACAGAAGGATGCTTCCAGCAGGGCCAGCCGAAGGGATAACCCACAGACACTGGCATTTGCAAGATTAATAATATGTATGTTGTAGACCTCAGTCTCTTCAGGTTCTTTGGGAGGGCTGTCAGGGTAATGCACACATTCATGCTTTTGTGTCCTGTCACGACCAACTTCAATGTGACTGATCTTCCTGACAAAGAGGATAAACTATTAGTCTTCCTTTAGGAAGACATTATTTGGAATTAATAATTCTATTATCCAATTTCACCTTATCACAAGGAAAGTTGTAATTATTTTTTGAGGAAGGATGTATTAACTTCATAACAACAGTTTCAATCCTGCTATTAAATATTAATTTGGAATTTTGTTTTTTAGAGTATATTTTTCCAATATGAGATCATACTCTTAATGGAATTATGTTTAAAAATATGTATTAAACACATGTTTAGGCTTTTGCAAAGGTTTGAATTTTTGTACTTTGTGCAGCTCAACTGAATTACGAAAATAATTTTTCTCTGATCCTCTACATTCCATCTATAGAATAGAATATTAGTTGCAAACTCCACAGAATTCTGTGATAAGTTATGATTTTGTAAAGTACTTAAAAATGAAGCAGCTTTACTGTGCATAACAGCGGAATGGTCCTTATCACTTCTCTTGTCACATAAAACAAAGATTATAATAGTTGCTTGATTCCTTAATAAAAGAAACTTAAGAACGTGGAGCTCTTGAATAATTCGTAATGGATTATTTTTAATTATAGTATAAGTTGAATTTAGCCCTATTGCTTAAATTTATTATTTTACATTTTTTCAAATGAAACACCTATCCAACTTCTGCATCTTCAGAAACGTTTAGAAATTTCAATGAAGCTGTAAGTCTGTGTCTATTGGGTGAACTAAACTAAATTAGATGGATTACCCAAGGCTCTCCACCAAAAAGGGAGTTTCCATACAACTTTTCATTAAGAATCTAAAAGCTGTATGATTGAAATCATATAGCTGTTGTGTGTAATGGGAAGGACTGCTGTTGAAAATGTAGGAGTTACTATTTGACACGAGAATGATAAAACTGTGCTTTTTTGTTTTTCAGGTCTTAGGAACAGATGAGGATAATATGGGGGATGGTTGCTCTCAGAAACTGGCTTCTGCCAAGTTCCTTCGACTTTTGCTCCTAATTCTGATTCCGTGCATCTGTGCCCTTATCCTTTTGTTGGTGATCCTGCTTACCTTTGTAGGTGAGTCCCAATGGAGTAAATGGACACATCTTGTATTCAGACTAAAATTGAGAATGTTTTCTCAAATACTAATTAAAGATATATCATAGTACATATACCTAACAAACTAATCTACCTTGTGGCTTAATGTTGTGGTTTGTGGCAGAGAAATAAGTTTGCTATTTGGATTTATATATTTAGAGTGTATTTGAGGCATTGAAGAGGAAACCATTTCCGAATTTCTCAAAATAGATTTTTGAGGAGCAGGCTACCTTGATCATGTAGTATGTATGTAGATGGTTTTCAGCAGTCATTTTACAAGTACAAAAAGATATTTATGTTAGAACTTTAAATCACTATCACTTGAATGGCATATTTATGTCACACATTGATGTGCAAATATGATCTTTATTTTCAGGTGAAAGTTAATTATAAATATATAAATACATATATAAATATGTAGCCACAAATCTTTCTGAACAGCCTGCAAACTATTGCTGTTTAAGGAAAAATATGTTCATTTCTTCTAAATATGAAATAGGTATCAATGCAGAACCCCAAGTATGTTTTGAGAAAATTTGGTTCCAGGTATATTAGATTTCATAATGGCTTAGTCTGTTATCTAACTCTTTGTTAAGTATTAAAAGGTAATAATTTATTACAAAAGAAAAACATTTAAAAAGCCTTCCTTTGTTACCTTTAGAGAAGCTGACATATCTTATCATTAAATTGCTTCAACTGTAACATAAGAAAGACAGTAATGCTAGGTTATAGCATTACTTTTTCAGGAAAAAAAAAGTAAAAGAAAAATCTGTTCTGCTTTAGTGCCGAGAGTTTCTCGGATTTTTATTTCTTTTTTTTACTAATGAGAGTATTTTTTAGCTGAGCTTCCTTAAGTAATTCAGAAGCACATCTGTAACAGTTGGGGTAATATGTGAGGTATCTAAATATAAATGTGTTCCTATTTTAAACCCTCAATTTCAATATACATCATACAATCAAACAGCAAGCACAGGAAGAAACTAAACACTTCTCAATAGCACCTTCAGCACTGTCAAAATCAAGACAATTTAAATCTGTTTTCTCAATTCAGTCTGTAAAGGATTTACATCAAGACATTGTAGGCCTGTTTTTTTAATTTAGCTTGTTAAGGAAGTTAAAAAAACCCACAAAGCTAGTGAATTTTGTGATTGACAAGTCTTGGGATGTATCTTTAAACTAAGAACAATCTGAAGAGGATTAAGATCAAGTCAGTCTGGCAATTAGGAAATATGATGCCATTCGATTTACTTTCCTTATGTTTAGCATTCCATTTGTATCCTTCATATCCTCTGCCCTAGATTTTTGTTCTTTGGTGAGAAAGCAGATAAAAAAGCAGGTGTATTTACGTCATCTCTACTCAATCTCCTCCTCTGAGGCATGTTTCAACATAACACTCATTAAAATGTATGAAATCCTCTGGGGAAATGGGTCCTCTTCTGATCCAGCTTACGTAGCAAAAATCAGGGCTACCTCCTCTTAAGTCAATGTAGTTGTTGTAGGGTGAAGAATAAGTCTTGGTGTTATTACCCAAATCTACAACTGGAAAAGCTCCCTTCAGCATCTTTTGATTAGCATGATTATAACTTAGTATTCTTCTCTCTCATTTAGAAGCTTTCATTTGATGTGTATTGATAGCCTAGAAACAAATATATCTGATGACTGGAATTAAATGAACAGATTCTGTGAGCATCTTTAAAGTGTGTGTAATATAATATAGTGTGTTCTATTTATTGAGAATACACTATATCCAGAATAGTAGCTCATACTAATTTCAGATTAACTGAATTCTGTTACAGTCTAATATTTGTATGATGCCTTACAATGTGAGAAATGAGTTGATAGTCTTGACTGGATAACACAAATTGATTGATATATACGAAATCTTGTTCTTATTTTTTCATGAAATGGATGAGTTAAATTCTGTGGTTGTCATTCTAGTATCTTTCACTGGTGCTTAAAACATAAATAGTGAGCTCCAGTATATCAATTAGAACCTTATGAACTTTTTTGATTTGACTTTGGCAACAAACTCATCAGAAAATTAGGCCAAGTATATTTTGCAAGAAAATATTTTGTTTCTTGTGGTAATTTTGTAGGTAATTACTCTTTTCCTTCTGTAATATGTTTTAATTAAATGAGGTATATACACATGAAAAAGAGTGCATGCACCTTAGAACTTTCCAATTAGTTTCTTTTAAATCTGCTTTGTTGCCTGCACATCTTTGCAAGCTCTGATGTTGAAGAAACTGAAAAGTTGGTATGGGTGGAAGGAGACATGTAGAGCAGTACAGTTACGTTCTAATAGAGAATATCCTACTTGAGGTGTGTCATGGGGGCCTGTTTTCAGAAGATTTCATTAATCAACATTTTAAAAATTACTTACCCTCAAAGTATTCAAAATTCAGAGCCCTTGATAAAGCTATTTTGTTAGAACTGTATACAAAGAAAGGACAAAGCAAATTATCAGCAGAGATATATATTATTTTGACTAAAGATGGTCTTTTACAGTCCGCAGAAGAAAATACCAAGCTGAGTTGTTTAGCTTTGACTTCTCTTAAGTACTTACACTCTGGCTTTGCATCCTTTTCTGTCTCTCACCACGAGTATAGAATGACAGTCAACCAGTAGAAGAAAACTTTTTAATGAATGAATGTTGTTTCACTCATTGAAGTAGAGGCAGTACCAGTTGCTATGGAGGAAGTCTAACCTTTAGACCATGACCATAATAATTTGTTGATTGCCTGTGTTACATCAGAGGACAGGAGGGCTTAGCAATGCTGCTTGCTTTGGACTCTTGATGACCTAACATGCAAGACCTTGACCATGAAGACTGAACTCAGCAAAATAAATGTGAATGGGTGAGAAAAGGCTAGATTATGTGTGACTGAAATTAATGATATGTTACCATTTCATCTGACCCTTGCAGACATCAAGAGCCTTCTAATAAGACTGTTCCATAATATTTTTCTGGGGATTATAGTTAGTGTAGTATAGTAAATTTCATTACTTTCTAGAAGAACGAACAATAACTGAATCCATGGTTTGAACAGCTAAATCTTTCTTTAAAATGGAGACAGGTAAGATCACCTTTAACTTGTCTTGGAATATGTAGTCTGTGTCCCATTTTGCATACACAGAAAAAAAATCCTTAAGTAATGAATAGTATGCAAACGTTACAAAGGTGAAAATTAGCATGTTTGTAAGAATGAAAAACCTCTGGCATTTTCATTTTTTTCCTTGCAGTGAAGAAACATTCTAAACCACTTGAAACATTGTTTTTCAAAGGTCCTTCATGGCTGGTGGGCATTATACCAAATTAGATTATTTTTTTTTAATTGTACCATAATTGCTTACCATTGCAGTTATTTATCTGGGAAAACAAAATGCTTTATAATTAAAGTTCCATAAAGGAAAATAAATTATTTTATAGGGATAAATTCATTCCATGGTAGTTGTTGCATTCTTTCACACCAGTATCCTCAGCTCATACTTCTGTGGTCTTCTACCACCTCCCATTACAACTAATGCTTTGTCTGTTGTCTTCTGAAGAATTCAGAACAAGTTTTGTGATACACATAAAGAATAGTTTCATGTATGTCAGACTCCTACCGTCCAGATGTAATTTTTGGGCATGTGATCACACTGCAGCACCACATTAGATAAGCCTGCCTTTCAGGCAAGCAGCAGACCCTTTTATCTGTGCACAATGTTAGGCATTCATGCATTTTGCAAAATAGTATTTTAAAAATCTGTTAGTTTGTCACCACTGATGGGAATGAGGATTAGAATTAAAGTCTTTAAAATGCACTGTGGAATATGGATATGCAAATAATTGAGGTTTTGGTTCTCTCACCGTCGTTACATTATCAGCATGCAGTGTTTATATTTTGGCTCTGACATGTATTCTGAGATGAATTTTGGTTCTTGGTGAGAATTATTACAAGGTGATGGGTTGTTCTTAGCATTTTCATCTTACTCTCCTTAAAAGCAAATCTCACTCTAGTAGCTGCACTTTTATTATCCTTTATTATCCGTAAGTATGAGTCAGCCTGGGCAGTTCTCAAATCATTCTGTTGTTTGGGAAATATGTGGCAAGATTCTGTCCCCCTGAGAGATCCTGCTGATGTTCTTGCATGCCAGTGGTTAAACAATGATCATTACTACTATATTACCTGTGAGACCTGTATTCTCCTTTTCCTTTCCCTTCTGAGAACACAGAAGGAGCTGTGTCTCCTTCACAGAATAAACATCAGGAAAAGTACATTATAGTAAAACTTCTAGGCTTAGCTTTGTGGCTGTTAGATCCTCCACGTTCATAAGGTAACGTGCATATGTCAAGAGTCTCGTATCAGTTTAGGAACCCAACTGTACTGGCCCATAAAGAACTTTTTGCCATGCAGAGGAAGTTCAAGTTGCAGGGAGTTATACTCTAGAGTAAAAGAATCTTGATCCCTGAATCATTTGGAGGTGCAGGTAATTCTCCAAGTGATTTCGAGCCTCAAGGCATATGACATATCTTCAAAATCTAAAGTGACTAGCAGCATGGAGATCCAAAAGTTATAAATGTGAAAGCAACATGAAATACTAACAATTCCATTGTCAATCAATGGCAATGTTTGCTATAAGACAGGCATCTAAATATAGGAGTTTAACATATAAATAAACTATTTTGTCCCAGGATGTTTTCTGATGGAAGATGGTAATCATTGGCTAAATGATTTGCCAGTTCTTTAATTTGATCTTGCCAACACAGTGATACTATGGGGAATGTCCAAAGGAATGTATTTCACCCATCTATAAGAACTGATTTAGCCTAGCAAGCTGTCTTTACTGATACACCTGGTAAGTTGGGAAAAAAAAGATGGTGTGAATACAGCTCCAGGTCAGAATGTCTGCTGTGAGACATCACTGAGGTCAGTGAGGAATTGTTCTTGGGATCTAGAGAATAATCATGGACAGAAGGTCACAGTGGCTGAAGC